AACATGCAACAAAATGCTATAATTTTATAGATACAGTTATGTGAAAGCATATACAAGTTCGTTTATGTACATATTTACAAGTGTGCACATATAATTTTTAATAAATTTCCATCACAAGCAATTATTAGTGAAATGGAGAGCTAAAAAATACGAAAATGAAAAGGCGTTATAAAAAATTTAGTTGGCAGCATTTAGCTGAACAGTAAAGTTAATTGAGTAGCAGCGAAAAAATTCCATTCGTTTTTTCTGTTTCCTTTTTTACTTTACGCGTAATCATTTGAAAACTATACTCGTTAACGCAATGCCACGCAACTGTAGGGGCCTTGGCGCTGTTTCCTTAATCACTTGCGAAAAAATGTTGTATGAAAGAGGTTCCCAACCATTTTTGTTACTAAAATAAGCTATACCAATTGACTCACATTTTTTAGTCTCAACGCAGAATCCATCATAAAATAACGCCAAATGTTTTCTCTTTCTCTAGCCCAACTCTCCGAAACCCTTGTTATGATACTGGTAAAAACAAACTGTCAATATTTCGGACTCTCTCAAGCCTCACCCAAAACTCTTGGAATGATACTGTTGAAAACCAGCTGTTAACGACTTTTTCTCTAGAGCCCAACTCTCCAAATCCCTTTGAATGGTAAARACGTCAATTTTTACGMCTYYCTCTCAAACTCTGCTCTCCCARAACCCTTGGAATGATTCTCATGAAAACCGATTGCCAATATTCCTTCTAGAGCTCAGCTTTCCAAAACTCTTCAAATAAACAGTSATCTGTCATGAGCACTTGGTTTCACCCCCGCCATGACCGAATTCAGTGACGTCCTTGCTTATACCTTTTTTCATATTTATTCATATTTTTTCGTTTCGTTTTTCAAAGCAAAAATACCGGAAGTGCGTAATAAGCCCAGCGCGTAGTTTCCAGCCACATCAATGCGTCAGCACTGTAGCTGCACTCAGTTTCCTGCGTCCATTTTGAATATAGGTTATTTTTAATATATACACAGGGTGGGTCAGAAACAAGATTTACAAGTAAACTGAAAATTTAAAAAGACTAGGATCCTAACCCGATCTTAAAACAACAAAAAGTACTAAAAATCGTGAAGTGAAAAATACRATCCTGAAATTTATGTTCACCTAGATACTTACTATGCTATATATTTGTAGATGGCTATCGTATTCATACGGATTCTGTGAAAGCTTTAAAGCTGAGCACTAGATTCAAGTGCGASTTCGATGGAAGCACAAAAATATGATTTCTTCGAATTTCTTGCTGATCGCTGATTTTACAGTCTTAAGAGTCTTAAAAGATCTATTTATTATCATTTTAAGGGAACGATATCCGGACACGGGGCACACATGGCAGGAACGGAAACCGAAGAGTAAAAAATTATTTTATTATATTTATAATCACGAGTGAGGGGGAGAGTAACAGAGAGAGAGAGAGGAGGGGGAGAGGAAGAGAGATATGGTTAGTGAGAGGAGGAGAGAGAGAGGGATCGAAAGAGCTTTTTATATAAATTAAGCTATAAACACCTTGGTTTGTGTTTGTAGTCTGTGATCACTAATTAATATAGGAGTGAATAGGGTTGCCACCTATTGAAAGTGTTCGAGTCAAGCGTTTTAGTAAGAAATAATTCTATAGTATTGTCACCCGTTATAAACGAGCTCATCTTTCAACATACTCATACTATACAATTACAGCAACAACAAAAACAGGGCTGGGCCAGCTTCATACAGTTCTGCTGAGTAACTGTGTATTAGTGCGCTGCATATCCTTTTCAACGGCGATAAGAGGAAATTTAATTAAATGTTATTCAATTTTGCTTTGCCATAGTTGTTGTTGGTTCCCTTTTTATACACGCTAAAGAATGCAAATGTAGATGGAAAAACGCAATTGAAAATTCGCAAACAAAAGCGAAATCAGTCGATTTATAAAAAGTTGTAGTCAGCCGAAGTAAGAATTAAAAGTAAAATAAACACGCAAATAAATACAAAAATAAAACAAAGCGAAAATGCATTAATAAAATATTGAGCAAATGCAACAACAACTACAATGAAAAACAAACGGTAACATGAGCAGCGAAAATAAGAATCCACGCAATAAACACGTTAAATGCATTACTAAAAAAAACAACAAAAGTAATAATAACAAGCACAAGTAGTAGTGAAGCTGCTGTCGACGTTAAGCGGTCTGCGTTACACACACTGCCATATCACAACTGAGTGGCGCTGGCTCGCTTGCCGCCTGCACATTTTCATCTCATTTTCATTGCGTTAAATTTCCGCTTTTAATTAAATTATTATTAATCTCTTTTTGGTTGATAGATAGATGAGTATGCGTATGCGTATGCGGCGCGGCAGCAGCAGCCGCAGCAGCGATAATAAGTGCTGGCAGTCAGCGGCGTTGCCTACATGTACATATGTAATTGTAACATGAGTAATTACACTGCAACTGCAAAATCAAGGTGGCAGTGGCAAAAACAACAGCAACAGAAATATTATAACACCAAAAATCTGGAAACAACAACAAATTATAATAACAAGAATCATATTTTTTATTGTTGATTAAAACAATAACAACAACAGGAGCTATTGCTGCAACAACAATAATAGAAAAATGCTACAACAACACAAGTGTAAAAATCCAACAACAATAAGACGCAGCAGCAGCAACGACAACAGTGCATTCAGCTTCCATTTCTATTGAGCACTGTTTTTGTTGTTGCTGTTCTTTGCGTAATTTTCTGCTGCAACGTTAGGCCTGAAGGTTGTTGCTTGCCTGCCCGGTTGCATGCAATTGGCGGTTTGGCGGTTTGGCTGTTGGCAGTAAATAATTTTTAAATTAATACACTTGGCCACATATACACAGAGAACTTTACATAATCACATCCATTTATATGCAGTCTATGTGTGAAAATGCACACTCCTACATAGTACATGTATATATGTACATATGTATGTATGTTGGTATGTTGGTATGTGTGATATGCATGCTTTCACACTTTGTGCCTTTTAATGAGTATTACGCGCTTTCAACGCCAACATCTCTAAAGCTCGGTGCTACTGAAGCGCAAAACGCTTGACCTGAAAAAGAAAAAACGTTTAAGAAGAAGAAATTGCAAGTGCATTTACAAATGCATATACGAGTATACAAATGTGSTTATGTATATGTATATCTGCCTTAAGTTATATGTAACAACATGCAGGCGCAGCTAGATTGACTCAGATTTGTATAYAAGAAGCATTTCTTTATATACTCTATATGCTGCTGTAAAGGAAATAATCTTCCTAAACTCGTAGAGGCATAAATTAGGGGCATAGCTACTTAGTAGGTTTCTGCTTTCACAAAGAAGCCTTATTAAATTACTGCTTTGGACCACAAGAACTAAGTCCAAGTGCTATCCAAATCATCTGCTGAGTAAAATTCTTGCCCAAATTTAGTCCCCCGATTCGGTTTGCGAACCTCAGATCCGTTAGCGTGAATTGCGACCGCGCTGCAAAGTATGCTCAACCTTCCTCCATTTTTACCGTAGCTCAAGCTAAACTTCCTCTACCTCCTTCGCTCCGCAGGAAGTGTARCTAAGCCTTTCATGGATTTTCACCGTTGCTTTTTTGGTCACTTTTGCTTTAAATCTCTTTTCTCTGCTTAGTCCTTATCGTACCAAAGCTTACTCTTTGTGTGTGACGTGTTGACGTTTCCAACGCTTTCGGGGTCTGAGTCTTCAAGGCTTGTAGCACATCTACGTTGCTTAGCGGGACCGGCAGTAGCCGGCTACTTCACTTCAGTTTGTCCTCCATTTTGAGTTTTGTTTTTATGGAACCTCTACCTCAAGCGTTTTATATCTATCACCAGATACCTACCAGAGTACCAACCAGTACCAGATACTCCTCCTGCAGTATCGTATGCACAGCAAGCTACCACTTAGGTAGACCACTAAAACGCTTTTCAAGAAACTAGTCCMGATGTTAAGCCGTGACATCCAATGCCCAGTCAGCATCCGCTACGAGCAGATTACAAGGGCATGGATGTAATTCAACAACGACCAAATGTGTTTGCACAACAACAACTTTTGGGGAATCATAAGAACAACTGATAGAAATAGTTTCTACAGCAAGTTCGTTACCTCATGCTTAAAAATGATTTTATTTAATTTTCTGCCTCTTCAACAATAACAAGAAGTCTAGGCCACAGCTTTCAATATTATCTCTTAACATACTTGTTTTTTAGGAGGAAAATACCTTAAATTTTAAAGAAATTCGCCTAAACCCGCTTCTTAGTGCGACTCAGAAGCAGTTCCGTAAAGCTGCAYCTTATGTGAGCCGGTGAATGGCAAGAAAGCCGTAGTTAACATACGAGTATGTGACAATGTGAATGGACCTGACTTCGTGTCCCCGCTCCAGAGTTAGTTCACTTCGTGAGTTACGTCCTTATGATGGCTGCAATAGTGGGCCCAGCACTAAAAATTTTAGTGGGCGAAATTCTTCATATTATAAATGTAATTTTCTGAAAACCTGTATTTTAATTTTATGAAAGCATAGTCACAAGCATCCGGCTTACGAACGAATGCAACTCTGTTACACTGCCACTTTTTAACACATACATATTCCACTCGGGAAAATTCTAGTTGCATTCCCAACGCCAAACACCACAGCGTTACGCCAATGCACTCAAATACAATACSACTCAAATCAAAAGCACTACACTCGCTGCACTACTCAACTGCCGTGTCAAGTCAAATACGCGCTCTTCTACCTACCTCATTGACAACAGCTGAGAGTTTGTGCGTAAAGTACCACTGCATACCATATACAGCAAGCCGCCTAGGGACGCCATGTGTGTTGAAAAGAGCGCACACCACGAACGCGGCGCTCGTTGGACGCACAAAGAGCAAAATGAAATGGAATAGYGAAAAATCGAATGACGGCCACGAAAGCAACGACGACGACGACGACAGCGAGCGAGCACGGCCAAACAACGATGTTGGTCCAACTAGCAAATTCACTCATAAAATTTTAATGGTGGTGTTCAAATCGTTTGCAACGCGCAGCGGATAATTTCAWAGCGAATTTCTTGAAAAAGTAATTTATTCTTGAATTATAATACAATAGATTATATTACATTAAAGTAGTTGTATTGCTAACTGTGCAAACGGTAATAAACCAAAACAGAAGTGTAAGTGTAAAGTTAAAAAGCAACGCGTTTACTTAGCGGCAGAAAAGGTTTGTGAAAAATTCGATTGTGAACAAGTAGCGGCCAACCGAGCCCGAGCACAAAGTTAAATAGTTACAAGCAAAGCAAAATAATTGAAAGTAATTAGCAAAAGGCATTTGCAACAAAATACACTGTATTTAAATAGAATAACGAGTTTACTAATAAAATTTGCAATTTTGAGGTAAAATTGTTTGTGCAGCACGCCAGCGTTTATGTCTGCTAATTTTCTCACTATCGACGGCTTGTAAATTGAGGAAGTAACTAAAAACAACAAATAAGAATTGAAAGCGTATATATTTTAAGTGTGTTTTGCTGCAATTTCGCTAGTCGGCCAAGCAATACAGAATTTTTAGTGCGTGCACAAATACTATTGGGCAAAAATTTGTTAAAAATTGCAAGTGCAGTGAATTTTGTTTAAAAAAGGATAAGTGTAAAGTGTAMAAAATTCGRAATCTAAACGGCTCTTGACAACTACGAAAAGGATATTTGTGCTTGATTGTGTGTGTGCAATAAACCTTTGAATTTAGTTGGATTCTTATTGAGATTCGTGTGCATTATTTTTCACGTCTGGCGCCGTTTGAGGAATACACATAAAGCAAAATTAATAAAGCAGTGTAACAGCAGCGAACAGAAAGCCAAACGAAAGGAGTTGTAAACGCAGCATAAAAAACAAAAGGTAAATTTTTGTTTTTCCTACTTTCATAATACTATGTAGCCGGTTAGTCAACAATGTGGTTTGTCCGGCTGGAAAAATTCTATAATAAACTGGTTGCTTGATTGCATTCCTGTGCGCGTTTCATTGTGTTTGAGCATGTATGCACTGCTAATTGGCTAATATGCATTTACATGTGCATATATAAAATTATTTTATAACTAATCAACGCAATTATTAGAATTTATCATCTGCTTTAGGCAAACAGCCGTCAACATAACATCGGCAATAATATATATTATATTACAGCTTAAGCTAATAAAATTCATTTAAATAAATGCTAATTTTATGTGCTTTACATTAAGCACAGCACTTTATATACAATCTGTACGTCACAATGGACGCTGCGCCAGCTAGCATGCCGCAGTAAGTTGTTGASGTCGTTTGCGGTCGCTGTCGACGTTGCCGTCACATGAATTGATTTTCTGCTGTCTCTCTGGCGCGCTCTGTCTGTTGCCTTTCATTTCGTTTGTGTTGTTGCTCTTTGCGCCACGCTTTGTGCTACGCTTTGTGCTGTATTTCGCTTTCTTCCACTTGGTTTGATTTTTTACGCTTCTTCATCTTCTTCGRTTTCTTATTTGTTTGCTTTCTTTTGTATTGCGGCGCGCACTCGGTTTCGTTTATCGCCAATTAACGACTGCGCCTCTCATTCAATCGCTCTGTGTTGAGTGTGCGCTGCGACGCGTCGCTGCTAAGTGCATGTGCGACGGCAGCGCTGCGCCGCTGCGACTGCACTTATCTTCTTATTGCAATTACTCTATTGGAGGCGACTTCGGTGCGCTGAAGTTTCACATCATTATTTTATATGGTTGGAAATATAATAAATTTAGACAATAAAATAAATAAATCGGTATCATGCGCTTTAAATTTTCAAATACAGATGACTACTTTAAAACTATTGCCACGTAAATAATTCAATTGCACATTCTTTGTATCTTTTTTGATTTTTATTATGTAATTTCTTATATTTTATTGTTTTTATTTTGTGTTATAGATTTTATTTTTTACAGTTTTTATTTTTTTATTTTCTGTTTTCGCTTCTTTCTGYGCCAACTTCACGGTTCGTCGCGCTTACTTGTATCGTAGCGTCATTGGACGAAATTCTTCTAGCCGCGGGTCAAACGCCGGCAACTGCCAATTTTTTCTATTTCTTTATCTGTTGCTTTTTTATGTAGAGATTATTTAATTTTCTGATTTAGTGAAATTTGCATTTCACCGTTTGCTATTTTTTTTCATTAATCTTTGGTTTGTTAAGCGAGCGACCCAACATAAATACATGCAAACTAAATATACATACATATAAAACATAACTGATAAAAAATAATACAATAAAATCACTTCAACTTCGCTCATTTGTCACACATTAGTATTCGCGCATAAATTAATGCTGTGGGGTCGATCTGCCGATTAACTGTAAGGTTATTGCACTCTACAGCATAGCAGGTATCGCAGTCGAAAAAGAAGTCTAAAAAGTTAATCTTTTATATACAAAAACATGTGTTTATGTAATTTTTTTTTAATGAGTTACTGCGGAGAAAATACAGCAAAAAGTGCGTGTTCTTTAAATTCTCTTGTAATTATTATGGAGAAATGTCTTAAATGGATATATTGACTGCCAGTAATTAAAAATTTAGCATTTTTATGCTTAAAAATACACTTCCTTATTTATTATTTATTCTGTAAAGAAATTGAAAGTCGTTCGTAATTAAATTAAATACAAAATAAATAACATAAAGGCAAGAAATKAGTTGAAATAAACTTTTTTGTGTAATACTTAAAAATTTCATCGTATTTATTATTATAATATAAAAGCAGTGATTAATAGTAAAGAGAGTGCAGGAAGTGAGATAATTAATTGAAATAATCTAAATTTGTTATTTAATTTATAATTCTAAGGAAATTTTTGCAAAATTACGTGCCTAAATAATGTTAAAAATCTATTTCAAAATTTTATGGATTTTTTTTGTAAATTAATGCAATTTTCCCTATATTTATTTATRTGTAAAATTGTTAAAGTGAGTGCGAAATTTATAGTCGTTATACCAAATAATATTTTTATCATCGTACAGACAGTATTTAATTTCCGCGAAGTTTTTAAAACTATTTTTATTTYCTTTTATGCTAATAGAAATGATACGGTGAGGGATATTATAGGTATAAGTATTTTAAATGCAAAGTAGGGTTTATTATGAACGCTTACCCTAAATTTCGTCAAAGTTTTTTTTTTTTTGTACAAGATAAAAATACAAAACCACAACACCCGAAAATTTTGTAATTTTTTTACATAAATTTTGAGGTTATTTGAAAAAAGTGTCAAAACAAAAGTTGTAGATCCTTTTATTGCCCACATCTTTACCATATGTGCCCCTCACCTTCATCTTCCCGAATTCAAAACGTCCGTAAATTATTTTTCCTTTAAAGTTTAATATTTTATCTTACATTTCCGATGGGTTTCAACATACTAAAAATTTCTTTAATTTTTTACCATTTTCAAAGGCTTTAAAAAGGTTTAACTGGTAAATACCATAAAACACGAGTTTCAACTTCATTTTCAAAAAATATTAATTATTTTTGTAATTACAACTCTTGAGATAACACTAACTTTTTTAAAAATTATAATTTTGCAAGCTATTCTACATAATTATTTACAGTTTCCGCATTAGCGCTGACAACATAGTGCTAAATTAGTGCAAACATGTTTTCAAGCTCAAGCCCGTTATGAAAATTCGCTCATAAAATATTTGTTGGATGTCAAGGGTTACCTCAACAGCTTAAAGTTAATGCAACCTCAATGGTTTTGAGTGTTTTAATCCATTATTGTAGCTRAAGCTACAACGTTTTTACATTATATTACGAATACATTATTTTTTCGAGAAATTSTTATGAAATCCCCGCCGCTTTAATTACACACTTATTATGCATACAAGTATGAGAAAACTAGCTGTTTTTCTGCCATGTACAGCACATTAAGTGCACAAACAAATGAGCCGATAATGCATTATTATCGCGCTTGTAGATCAGCGGCCACAACATTAGCAATGCAATATTTGTAAAATTATATAGTAAAGTGGCAGGGAGCATAGTTACAAGTCCGCCATTGAAACATTCCAGCCGCTATTTAGCTAACCAACCAAACCAACAGCCARCTAGGCAGTCAGCTTGAGCAGCCATGCAAGCAGTCAAGACGTCAGTCTGTCAGCCCGACCGCAATTAGCCAGTCAGATAACGTTCGCGCGCTCGCACAAGTGCTAACGACACTTGAAGATTCTCTAGCCTAGCCGGCTTGCATAGTAATAGCACACACTTACTTGCCTGGCTATTTGGACTCGGCGATTCGTTGAGTTTGTTGCCATTGCCAGCACAATGTTGCACTACTTCATTGCATTGCCTGCAACAGCGGCATGACTTGCGCTTGCAACTTCTTATTTTCTGCTTTGCTTCGGTCGCCGAACAATCGCAATTCCACTGACGCGTGTAGTCGCCTAAAGAATTGTTGACTGCCTCCTTCTGCCACCTAACTTCTAGGCGTACACGCTCGTATACTGTTCGTTGAGTGTCTGTTGTGCTTGCTAGCGCCTTTTAGAACTTGTTGGCCACCGCTTGCAATCCGTAACCACTCTATGGCTTAACATTGTTTACCTCGCTTTTTATTCGCCATTTTTTATGTGTCTGCTTCACACTTTTTCTACGCTTTGCCACAAAAGTCGGTATATATTTGCCCAACTATATAAATAGGAAGCAAATTGAATGGTGATTATATTTCGTCGCTTCGCTGCACTCGACTCGCCTGCTGGATTATAGCCTAGGCCGTCCGAATGGACCACCTACCCGTCTGTCTAACCAATGACATCCCGGCAGTCAGCAAAGTTTTGCCCCTAAGTAAAGTTTATATCTTTTAAATAGTTGATATGCTTAGTTGCTTTGATTTTTATTTATAAATATTYATTTGCTCACATTTTCTTCCTCGCAATTCTACTCTGCTCTACAGTAAGTTCTYAAAATTGTGCTTTTCCGCGCTCTCCATGCTTAACCACTTCTCATTTGCTCTTGCAACAACAGTTAGTCTATTAGATTTTCATGTTTCGTGTCGTCTAGTTTGCTGTACTTTCTGGATTAATGATTACTTGCTTTTTATTGCATCTTCCTTTTAAACGATTTTCTTCTGTGATTGTCTGAAGCATGCTTGCATTGTAGTTTCAMGTCTGAAGTGGGTATTAAAAGTATTTTGTTGTGTTGCAAACGCTGAACTATACTTCTTATATAAGCAGGCACTTCAGAAAAATACTTAAGGTTGGTCGAGCTTATGCATTATAGTGCTGATAATAATTTACAGCTTTCAAGAAACTTGTTTACAGAGAAAATAATTGAAGAAACATGCTCTAATTGCTTGAGTTTTAGAAAAATACCTAACTAACACCAAAAAGGTTGCTGTACGAATTACCTATAATAAGTCGGACGATTGAACCACTTAATTAAGCGTAGAAGTGGTTCTCATATGAGCAGACCTCTTGAGAAAAACTCAGAAATTCGAAACCTTAAGAAAATTGCTTAAGAGTCAAAGTGAAACAAGCTCTAGCTTTTATTTAAATATGCAAACAGATATTACCAAAACGCACATTTCTTTAGGAAAATSTGCCCAATGTAGCTGTCTAAGCTAATAATGCTAGCAATCCTGACATTTCTCCAAAACGTAACACCACAAAGGTATATGACGTCTGTCGTMTGCCAACATTGCGAGAGCAGGATTAGAGTAAGTGTCGTTTATATTTTATGCTATACCACTGCAAGTTGCTTGTTTTCAGCTTTCCGCTTACTTACTGTATTTGTTGTCTAAGGCCAACGACACGCTATTCCTAACACACTTTCTATGCCGCTGTGTCGCCCCGAGAAGCCCGCTTTTGTTATAAAGTATCTTATGTTAGGCCGCCGACTCCTGTAGCATGGCCCACACAGCAGCACCTCAC